TCGAACTCACAAACCGCGAGATCATGACCTGAGCCAAAGTGGGATGCTTAACCGACTGAGCCACCCAGGTGCCCCCCGCTTAGGTATTTCTAAACTGAGATACATTCTTCTGGGATTTCATATGTTATCTTTCATTAATGTTGTCATCTATTAGATTCAAAACAGCCAAGATTAATAGATGAATGGCTGTCATAAATGGTTGATCTAGTTTTGTCCCTATGAACATTGTGACTAGGTAAGTTACGTTTTTGTACTGAATAATTGATTTGAAAGTTACCCAGATTATCAAGTTATATGAGACTGGGCAACAGTACATTTGCAAACATGGAATGGGAACATTGGACAGGAAGTAGAGAGATCTGGCTTTTAAACAGCTTTTGGTCCTTCCTTACTTTCTGTTTAGCTATGTGACCATAGGCAAGTCACTTGAAATAGGTTCTCTCAGGACCTGTTTCTTTATTCTAATGTGAGTGCATTGGACTAAATCTCCTCAATGTACCTTCCAGCACCACTGTTTTAGGTGCAAAATATTAAAGATACATGTATTTAACATTTTAATACATATAATTTGTGATATTCAGGTTTGGTATCGAATTAAATCAATTGAAATGTAGGATGTTTTGTAGTCAGTGTTCTGAAGAAGCTCTGAAATGCTGTGGTGGCCATGATAGGTGCAAGTTATTTCATATGCATTGAAATATTTTTTAGAAAAAAAAATCTAGAAAGGATTTACTTGAAACCAGTAAGTTAATATCAGATCTTGATTTAAATAGGTTCTTCCCAAATATGAGCAAGGATGAAATCAACAACTGTAATAGTATGCTAATATTATAGAAAGTCAAAGCCAAAGGGACCATTTAATCAGCCCCTTTATTTTGACTGTTAAAGAAAATCTAACTTAGAGAGGTGATGCAGTTCACTGAAGGTTATTCTAAGGAAATGCCTACAGAGTTTCCAATTTTGCTGCAAATTTCCTATGGATTAGGTTTCAGTGGGAGATGCAAGTTACTCCCTGGAGACATAGAAACCATAGACTATGATTGTTTCCTGACATCTAGATCCTGGATGAAGGGTCCTGATGGGAGAGGCATTTCCCTGGAATGGTTGATGTAGGCTTCAGAAGAAGGG